CCGACAAGTATTCTGAGGGTAGTTGGGATGGGAGGCAGGCTGTCTGAGGAGAGACTGAGGGAACGGCCTTATTTAGTCTGCAGGAAAGAAAACGGGGGGATTAAACAGCAACCTTTAACTGTTGAAGGGTAGTTTCAAAGAGGATGGTGCTAGACCAGGGTAGGCAATTATTTTGGGTGGAGGGCCGCTTACTGAGTTTTGGGAAGACATTGAGCGCCGCATAACAGGCAGCCAGGGGCAGATAAGTATTAATTTTCTAAACTTTCTAGGGACCCTGTGGGCTGGATAGAATGGCCTGGCGGGCCGCATCCAGCCCATGGGTCGCATTTTGCCCTGTGCTAAACCGTTCTTAGTGTTGACAGAGAAGGAGCAATAGTCTCAAATTACAGCAAGGGAAGTTTAGATTAGAGATGAGAAAAACTCTCTCACTAGGAGGGCAGTAAAGCATTGGAATAGGCTACCCAGAGAGGTGGTGGAGTCTCCAGCCATGGTGGTTTTTAAGATCTACCTAGACAAAGCCTTGGCTGAGATGATCTAGTTGGGGACAGTCCTGCTTTAAGCAGGAAGTTGGACTAGATGACCTCCAGAGGTCCCTTCCAACACTAATTTTCTATGATTCTCTCTGGTCCATTTTAGCCACAGAATATGCACATTCAAATCCATGATTCTTTTTAATATGCTAAGTAGGAAGCTGGCAGAAAAAAAAGAAGTTAAAGTCTAGGGATTTCTCCAGCTGATTCTCAATTCATGGAGTGTGTACAATGTCTTGGATTCCTCCACTATCCTACTCTGCAGTTCCTTCCAAGGTACCTGCAGAGCAGCACTAGCACCTATGTTTCAACTGGCTGCAATTCCATGGAAAGAGTTTTTGACTACACAGTGGACGCACCTACACAAGCACTTTAATACACATTAGCCTATTTCAATATGCATTAAAGTGCCACCAAAAAAACGTTATTTAGTTAACATGCATTAAAATAGGCTAGTACCCATTAAGGGTCACTTTAAAAAGTGCTCTTTAGTTAATGGGCATTAAGCAAGGCTAATGCGCATTTTCCTAGTACCTCACAATGGACTGGGCATTTTTACACATGGTATGGGATGCAGCACTGGGTACTTTAATTAGTGAGCCACGTTGATTAGAAGCACCCTTGTGTCACGTGTATCAGCATCGCTGCATGTCCCTGCGCTGAAGAAAATGGCGGTGGACGCTTTGAACTAAAGCTCATTGGACATGTTTTCTTGCAAAGTGCCCCGCTGCCATTTTTTCAGTGCAGAGATGCATGGCAATGCTGATACATGCGACATGGAAGTCTGCCAGAACATATCAATTTTTGTGCTCCAACAGACTCAATTAACTGGATTCCCAGTGCATTGGAGCAGGCTCCGCACGCGTATGTAGGAGCCCAGAGGTACTAGATTTCATGCACATTAACTAAAGATGTGCCCTCTGGAGGTACTATATTTAAATGTGCATTACCAAAAGTGCATTAGTGAATGTGTAGACATGCCCAGTATGTTACTAATAATTTTAACTGAAGATCAAGCAGTTTTCTGTGTGCAAATTGAACTAAAGAATTTATTCTTTTATCATGTGGCTCTTCTCACAACCTGCTCAATTTTGCTGGTTATCCCTCAGCCTCCCAGGTTCTCAGCAGCATTAGGAGTAGCTCTGTAGTTACTAATTTCCCCCTCTACAGGGCCAACTCAAGGTTTTCTTTGTTGGTTCTCTCCCCCTATTGCTCTCACCACTCCCTGGCTCTGTACTGCATGATGAAGGAAGAACAAGGGCCTGGGCTATTTGTGTGACTACTGTGCAGAAAAACTTAAAGATCTCAATATGAAAATAAATTCAGTTAATAGTTTATCAACGGCTGCCCTCCACCACAAGCCAAGATGGCTCCAGATTTTAAACCACAAAAAAATAATTTATTCCCCCAAAGTTTCTGAGCCTAAGTTTCAGATACATTAGTGGAATCTGATTTTTTGGAAGTTTGACGCACCAATCCTCTGAAAAATAAATCAGCTGCATTTTGAAATGTCTCAAGTTGTACACAAAGCAAAAAAAGAATGCAAAACTGATCATCATGTTTGAATGTAGTCAGTTTGAAAGAAAATAGTATGCATTCTAAACAATGAAAAGATTTAAAAGAGAAGCACTGTGCAAACTATCAGGCTCAAATCATACCAGTAGACACTGACACCTGCTATTGTTGACCGACTGAGACAGAACTTCAATCAAATTCAGTGAAGTTTGCCCAAGCACAGACAGAAAACTGTTCGTTTATCCTTTTAGATGTTGTGCAATTTAATCATTATACATACCGGCCTTCTCTTGTACACCAAGTATATAAAATGCAAAAAGTTGACCACCAGGAATACTGTATTCCAGATCATTATGTCCACAGCACAACGGAAGAAGGTAGCCCAGATAATAAACATTGCACATCCTGTCAAAAATAAAATAAGTTAAACTATACTGTTCAGCTATATATAAACATTTCAACACAATCATATATACTTTATTATGATATACCTGTAAAACCCTCTTTTTTCAAAAATAGCCACTATGATATAAGAAATTATGCACTTTACCAATTTTAATACTGTTAGATATTAGGGACAAACAATGGCAGCATTTTAATAAAAAGGGAGAGTTATGAAACCAATTGGTTTAAATTGTAAGAAACATTTTAAATAAATAAATCCTGCTTTGCATTTCTGCTTTGTCACTAACATGACACTGATTTGACACAGAAACAGTAAGTATTCGTATCAAAATGTAAAGGTTACAGACAAAGAGAATGTTAAAAATCAGCAAACACTTTTTCCATGGATTCCTCAATGCTATCTACAGAAATTTTGAAATCTTAGGGAAACATCACGTGTTGTGACAGAAAGAGGTAAATCTGTATCTTCCTTCAAGTTGTTGAGGATGTCACTTGATAGGAGAAAAGAATGACTGATAAACATTTTCTAAATATTATCAAATTCTTATATTTTTAAATTACTCTGCTCTGATTAGCAAGAGCTGCTATACAGATAAGGTTCTTGTTTGTGCAACTTCTGCTTAGAATACATAAAATACTTTCTAGTCACCATCTCAGTCTAAAAGATTCAGATTCCATGCATGTAATTCAGTTAAAAATAAAAGCACCCTAGAGTCCAAGTCAGTGAGCTCTCCACATGCAGAACTCCTGTTGATTGTAGTGAGATCTTGCAAAAAAAGAAGAAAAAAAAATAGACCTTTGTTTTGACAAATTTGCCCGTTTTGACAATTTAGTTTACGGTAAATGTGAAAGAGATAAGACTTTGGCACCACCTACCGTCACAAAATCCTTCTAGCTCCTTAATATTAAAAACCCACATAGACTTTAAAACAGGGTTCAACTTTCACCCTAGATTCAAAGCCAATACTATTCTTAGACCGTTGTTTACTTCTAGTTTAGAACAAAGACAAGCATCCTTCCTTCCTTCCTCACTCCCCATAGCTGAAGTGATAGGGAGGCATTGAATAAAGGCCCATTCAGATTGTGAGCCTGCTCTTTCAGCACCAATCACTTCAGGATATATAAGAAAGGAGTCAGGAAGAGACTTAAAATTGTTGCTTGGTCACTGAAGAAGTCAGAGGTGCCTAGGGCAGGAGGTACTTGTGACAGCCCCTACTAAAGTGCAGAAAAGGCAATAGACCAGAGCAGCAGAAGTCTGAAGGGCTGCAAAACGTAGTGGAGAAAGCCAGAGCAAAAGAGCCAACAAAGTACTAAAGTCACAGTGGACATTATTAACGTAAAGCCTACGCTATGAGATGTGGTTAAGGCAATGAGATGGCTGACAGTCTACGCTGAAACAGCCAATTATCATCTGAAAGAATCAGGACTGAAACAGTTCTTTATCCATGCCACTCTCTCAGAGCACTACATTTGGCCAAGTGAGTTGGATTCAGAATTCTGCAGTACAACTTCATATCAAGTACAAATGCATTTAATATCTGGGCTATCTTACGTTTGCTAGTAAGGAAGGACTATCATTTTCAGAGTAGTTACATATTAGAACAAATTATCTAAGAAGGATATGGACTCTCTATCCTTGGAATTTAAGACAAGGTTAGCCAAACACTTGACAGAAAGTTTAAATGGAGATGAACCTGCCTATAGGGCACTAGACCAATGGGGGAAAAAAAAGGCCTGGAAGGGACCCTATGAGTCTATAACAGGGATACTTTACACCAGGCCCACAGGCCAGCCTGCTGAGCCATGTAATCTGGCCAACAGGGCTCCACCTGGGTCCAAAAACTTTGTGGGGGAGAGCAGTGGCACCATTAATTGTTGCTCCCCTGCTGCCAATTTCCAGACCTGTGGGTAGCCCTGAAGGCCAGAAAGTGTCCCTGGATGCTACATCAGGCACACAAGGTGGCATGGGGCCTAAATCTCGGTATGTGAGGCCAGGCAGGAGAGGTATGGGATCTGATCAGGCATGCAGGGCCAAGGGAAGATAGTGCTGGCTCAATGGGGGCATGCAAGCCTGGTCAGGGATAGTTTCATAGATTTCAGAGACATTAGGGCTGGAAGGGACCTCAGAAGATCAGAGTTCAGCCCCCCACCCAAAGGGCAGGAAGTCAGCTGGGGTCATTGGATCCCAGCAAGATAAGCATCCAATTTACTCTTGAAGGTGTTCAATGTAGGTGCTTGAACCACTTCTGACGGCAGGCTGTTCCAGACCCTGGGGGCTCGGACAGTAAAGAAATTCTTTCTTATGTCCAGCCTGAAATGGCCTTGCAGTAGTTTATAACTGTTCTACCTTGTCATCCCTTGGAGCGCTCTGGTGAACAAACATTCCTCCAGATCCTGGTGGCCGTCCCTGATAAACTTATAGGTGGCCATCAGATCACCCCTGAGCCTGCGCTTTTCCAGGCTAAAAAGCCCCATGGCTCTCAGCCTGTCATCGTAAGGTCTATTTTCCTGACCTCCGATCATGTGTGTGGCTCTTCTCTGAACTCTCT